TATTTTTTTTTTTTTTTTTTTTGGGTGAAATATTGTTCAATCATCATTCAGCGTGACAGATATATTTATGTAAAAATGAAACAACCTACTTTCTGACCTGTACATATTAAAATATACAAAAGAATAAGTGATTATGCTATTTTTTTTAATGATTAAAAACTTCTTGCTGACAAATGGGTGGTTTAAAGGATAGTGTGCAAAGATTGGTAAAGACTTACAATGACAATTAATTAGTTTCTGGAGTTTTGGGTTAGTTTGAATCAGGGTCTAAACATGCCCGAGCAGACTTTTTTAGTATATGAACTATAGTACCACTGCCATTTTAGTGGGTGTCTCCGTGTAAATCCTGCCGAAAACGCATGCTAGGCACTGGTTTCTGCAGCGGTGTGAGTGGATGGGTGTTCTCTGGGTCTCGTCTTTCACGGGTGACGTCACAGCGGAGTTGATGGCGTCATTGCGCGTCCCGGCGGAGCGTCTAGAGCGCGTTGACGGATCGCAGCAGCAGCGAAGGCCGACGCGACCGTGGCTCCGGCGGCCGGGATCGAGCGACGCCAAGCCGGACACCGAGCGAGGAGAACATGCAGGCTGTAGCGGAGGAGCTGCGGGCAGGCTCCCGGATCCCGGTGACCGTCGAGCAGATCGTCAACGACACGCTGGTGGTGACGCTCACGTACCGCGAGAGGAGCTACACGGGCATCCTGCTGGACTGCAGCAGAAAGTGAGTCGCCTTTCTTTGTGTTTTCGAGCAAAAACACACTTTTGTCAGGTCAGGCCCAGCAGCAGGCCAGGAGGACACAAGCAGCAGGCCTTTATCAGAGAAGAACATCATCATCATCATCATCATTGCACGATAGAAACGCGTATAAATCTGCTCTTTTGTGTCGGATCGTGTGGTTTTTAGTGTCTCGCGGCAGATATTTCTGCTTTAGCCATGTAACATCCGGAGCTCTTTCCTGTAACATTGTATCATTTCCAGCTGCAACATTGATTGATTGATGTTTTCACGCACATTCATCGAGCGTTGAGTGAAATCATCATTATTCTTCATGAAGGCTCAGATGCCATCGTTACAATAGCATACCTGGACATTCATCCAGTTTAAAGGTCAAATATTGCTCAAGCATATGTGTTTATTCATTTTATCCTTATAAATGCGTTTTGGGACATTTAATCTCAATGGTTTTCTTATGAAATCACACGAGGCCTTTGATTGTTTACCTCTTTTCTCATATTTATAGTGACCTGTCATTGTCTGCATTAGATCACTTCATTCCATCTTCCCTAAAAATGGTGTCATTTTTAGGTTTTATGAGTTTTAATGTAAAAGAATCAGGTCTTTGTGTCAGACAAAGACAGGTGAGATGTCACTCAACCGCTTCACAAGGTTATATTCCATTAGAAACAGCACATGAATGTGGATATATGTGACCCTGGAGCACAAAACCAGTCTTAAGGGTAAATTTTTTTTAAATTGAGATGTATGCATCATCTGAAAGCTGAATAAATAAGCTTTCCATTGGTGTATGGTTTGTTAGGATAGGACAATATTTGGCCGAGATACAACTATTTGAAAATCTGGAATCTGAGGGTGCAAAAAAATCTAAATATTGAGAAAATCATCTTTAAAGTTGTCCAAATGAAGTTCTTAGCAATGCATATTACTAATCAAAAATTAAGTTTTGATATATTTACAGTGGGACATTTACAAAATATCTTCATGGAACATGATCTTTACTTAATATCCTAATGATTTTTGGCATAAAAGAAAAATCTATAATTTTGACCCATACAATGTATTGTTGGCTATTGCTACAAATATACCCCAGCGACTTAACACTGCTTTTGTGCTGCAGGGCCACATTTGTATGAATATGAGCAGCTGTGAGGTATTTATAGACACTTCTGAGAAAAAATGAAATATTTACTGCATTCTTGAACTCTATGTACATTCAGTGTTTGTTTATATTAGTAACTTACTCCATACATTTGGATTAAATGTTAAATATTTTGACCGCTAGTGATGTAAACCATCTACATATGCTCGGTTTTATTTTCAGCTATTATTAACAGTGGTCAGTCTAATACAAATTATGGAAAGCCTAAGTATGAATACCCTTTTATCAAAGAATAAGCATAAATGTGTCCAACCACGTAAACCATTTTATGCAACTTTTGTGAAATCGCTGCTCAGACGCTGCGTTGTTGCTGTTATATCATCATGTGTCACGTCCTGAGTCCTGAGTCATCTCCATGAGTCATGCTACGGTCACAATATCATACTAACTTTGAAAAATTGATCTAGCACATTTACACGATTTTGCACAAAACCTGGCTTAAAAAAGGAAAATAATATAGCCACGTGCAATGTAAAACATGATTAAATAAAGATTATTGGAGTATGTTTGTATTAGAAAATACTATTTACTTATTAGAAAATAAGTGTATAAAACATTTATCATATTTTTATTATACAAAAATTTGAAAGGTAATTGTGACTTTTTGTTTATATCTCACAATTTGTACACTTTTTTTCCTTCCAATTCTGAGAAAGAACTGCAAGATATAAAGAATTTTGCTTATTTTATTTTTCAGAATTAACTTAAAAATGTAAAATAAGCTGAATGCATTGAAGATATAAATCGAGACTATTGGAGTATGTTTACTAGTAGAAAATACAAAATACTATTTCAGTCTTTCTACTTCAAAAAATTCTCTCTCACTTCGCTTCCTGTCCACCTTATGTCCTGTCGAAATAAAGGCATAAAACACCAAAAATAAATCTTAAAAAAGAATAATAATTCACATTTAATTTAATGTTACCTGACGTTTCACAAACATTGTATTTTAAAAAGTGATTGTGACTTTATCTTACAATTTTGACTTTTTCTTGCAATTCTGAGAATAAATAGTCCTAATTATAAAAAATAAACTCGCAACTGCAAGAAATAAGAGAATTTGACTAATTTCAGGATTAACTTAAAATGGAAAACATTCTGCATGCATTGTAAAAAAAAAAATGTAAATAGATTTTTAGAGTGTTTTGCTAGAAAATATTTACTTTATGACTTCAAAAATTCAATTTAATTAAATGTTTTAGTTGATGTTTCTTTGTAATACTTTGTGAACCTTGCTATCAAGTTTCTACACCAGTTGTTTGTCACCACACTAAAATAAGCTGAAAATAACTATATTAAATGTTTATCACAGAATACTTTCTGAAACAGTAGGCAGTGTATTCAGTGTAGTGTTCAGCAAGTATTCCACTCTGAACGGCCTGGGAGTGTTCAAATAGCATCATCGTCTGGCGTGAACATTTCAGCTGTATAAATATTCTGATTATGCAATGAAATGTTTTCTTACACCTACACGGCGGTGGTTTTTGGGTTCTGCCGCTGTAGGCCTCGAGGACAGGCGCTTCAGGACTGGGTGTTTTATTTTTCATCAAACATCTCAGACGATTGGTGTTTATGCCTCTCTTACCCACAGGACTTCCTTCTAAGGTTTAATTAATAATCCCTGCACAATCAGATTTCAGGGCTGGATGTGAAAACAAGCAAATCTCTTGGGCCTCTGCTGTGTCCCCGGTGGTTTATGGGATTGTTTTTGTTCAGTGAGGTGGAGGGGAGATCCGGATCTCGTCCCGTTGGTCTCTTTGTCTGTTGTTTCTAACCGCGCACAGCTCATTGCTTTGGCTCAGGTTGCCTCTTTCACAGACTCATGCTTACCTTGAGGCTCCAGTCTGAAAAAAGTCAGAATTGCAAAATATAAAATCAGAAGTTTGGGACAAACTCAATTCTAAGAAGGAAAGTCAGAATTAAAACAAAAAGTCGCCAATACCTTTTTTATTTTTGTTCTGTGGTGGAAACAAAAAAAAACAGAACTGCAAAATGTAAAATAAGTCAGAATTCTGAGTTTATATTGAGCAATTCTGACTTTTTTCCTCAGAATTGCTATAGCTTGTATCTCTGTATTCTGAGTTTGGGTTAAAGACGAAAATGGGTTTTCAAGCATCAAAACAAAAGTTTAAAGGGTTAGTTCACCCAAAAATGAAAATTAGCCCACAAATTACTCACCCTCGAGTCATCCTAGGTGTATATGACTTTCTTCTTTCAGACGAATCCAGTCTGAGTTATATAAAAAATTCTTTTTTTAAAAATGAATATAAAAAAAAAAAGTCTTTGATCTTTCAAGCTGTTCAATGGCACTCAGCGGGTGTTGCATGCATCTGTCCAAAAGAAGTGAAATAAAAAGCGCCCATCGATAAAAAAAAAGTGTCTCACACAAAATATCCATATTCAAAACGTAATAATCACTTTAATCTAGCTTGCGTTCACTGTTGTACACGGAAGCAGCTCCGGGAGCATGACGTATGAGTTCAGCGCTGCGCATGCGCCGGTGAGTCTCGTGAAAACCAACGTTTGTTCACAGGAGCAAAGGAAGCAAAGTTTCCTTACTTTAGCAAAGGAAACCCAGTCTCCTCTTGGCTTATATCGAAATCCTCCGACATTCTTCTTTACAAATCCTCATTTTGTGCTTCTAATTAGTGACCGTTGTTTTGTTTTGATCTCTCCGCTGCGCTTCCGCGTTCATCACTTCTGAGCGGCGCATGCACAACGCTGACCTCATTCGTCATCCGCCCGGAGCTGCTTCTGTGTACAACAGTGAACGCAAGCTACATTAAAGTGATTATTACATTTTGAATATGGATATTTTTCTTACAAATGCATCGATTCGCTACAGGAGGCCTTTGTTCACCCCCCGGAGCCGTGAGAGACATTTTTATGGATGGGCGCTTTTTATTTAACTTCTTTTGGACTGATGCATGCAACACCCGCTGAGTGCCATTAAACAGCTTGAAAGATCAAAGACAATTTTTAATATAACTCCGACTGGATTCGTCTGAAAGAAGAAAGTCATATACACCTAGGATGACTTGACACCTAGGGTGAGTAATTTGTGGGCTAATTTTTATTTTTGGGTGAACTAACCCTTTAATGCAGCTGTAAATTGTTTTGTTTTTTTATAATTTTTCTGAGCAAAAATCATACATTTTTACCATCATTTACAGAAAACACCCACTAAAATGTCAGTGTAACAATAGTTCATATACTAAAAAAAATCTTGTCAGGCATGTATAGATAAAGAATCATTAGATGACATTAAAAGACTATTTAAGGATCTCAGTTCAGCCCTAGAATTTACCAATCTTTGCCACTATCCTTCAAACCTTTAGGTTTTAGCCATTTATTAATAGTTTAAAATATAATAAAATTTAGTATGACAACTTATTCTTTTATATATTTTAATAAGTACGTCAGAATGAGTATGTTGTTTCATTTTTACATTAGTTACAATGAATGACGATAGAACATTATTTCACCCATATGTTGATATTTTATTTTCACAGAAGTTATCAGAAACATTAAAGTAGAAACTTTACTTGCATTTAATATGCTTTCTGTGTATATAAAATCGCTTTTGTTAATTACATTTAATGCAGACACCAAAATGGGAGCTTTGTTTTGTAAAGTAGTTACAGTAGTGAGGTATTGGGGCGATAATGTGCTTAATTGCTATCAAAACAATGTCACAATGCACATAATAATAATGGTTGTCCTTAAATAGTCTTCATTATGTTGTATTTTTCAAATGTGACCATGACATGTTTTTGTGAGATTCATCATACTACACTGAAGTTCTTAGAGTTTCTAAGAATAAGAGTTTGGAGAGATGAAGCGATATCTGTGGTGTTTTTTAAAGGCTATAAAAACAAATAGGTGTGGTTATGTGCATGATATGACTGGTTCACTAACCTGTTTTTCTGGTCAAGAGTCAGCTTGCCATTAGAAATGATTAATCGTGTATTTCTGTTCTTGAGTGTTCAAAGGTTTTGCAACACTGTGATAAGTGTTAAAAATAAGGACATTTAAAAGTGATGGTCTTAGATGGCTTATTATTGCAACCTAAATCCAAAACCATAAAAATTGCATTATTTGTCATAAACGTTAACTGAAATAAAATATAAAAAAGTGCATATTTTATTTCAGCTAGTTGCCAAGGCAACCTTTCTCATTTTCGTTTAGCTTAAGTTGAAGTGCTAAAATAACAAACTTAAAAACAATTTTTTTACATAAAAAATAACAAAAATGACAAACACAAAACAAAATGACTTAAACTTTGTAAAGAGAGTGTCGAGATGCTGAGCCACAATCTTGACTGTTCATTCAAACAATGGAAGATGGGGGAGTGTCAGAAAACCAGGATTGTCCTTATTTTTTTTAGTCTAATTGGTGCCGCTAGTGGCTTTTAAACAGAAAAGTCTTAACAGAGCTTTTGTCGATGTACAGAAGAGCAGTATTATGGGTAATTAACCCTGTATACTCTGTCCATTATTGGCTCTTATGTTTCCCTCTCGACTCTTTTCTGTAGGACTGGGCTGTTTTGCCTTCCAGACGTTGTTGGAAAATCCGAAGAGAGCCTCATATTGAGACCGGACTGTGAAGTCTCGAGTGAAGAGGCTTCCTCTAAACCCGTTAGTCAGCTGACGCAGCAACCAAAAGATGAGAACACGGAGCCTGAGGTGGCTCCTCCGCTCGCTCCCGTACCTATCCCGGTGCAACCGGGCCAGCCCACATATCCGCCGTACTTTGAAGGCGCCCCGTTTCCGCAGCCCATGTGGGTCCGGCACACATACAACCAGTGGGTACCGCAACCGCCGCCACATCCAATCAAGAGGAAGAAGAGACGAAGTCGAGAACCTGGAAGGATGACCATGAGCACAATCCGACTGAGACCTCGGCAGGTGCTGTGCGAGAAATGCAAAAACACACTAAACAGTGATGAGGACAGCAAAGATGGACCAACGGTGACCAAGACATCTAGGAAGGAGAACGCGCCTCAAGCCGACGAGGAGGACACTAAATCAACCCCAGCCAAGAGGAAGGACGACGGAGACAACAACAACAAAGAGTCAAAGAGACGAGAGGAATCGACGGTCTATGACACCAAGTGCTTCCGGAAGGACAAGAAGGACAATGAGAAGTTTCCCAAAGGGGACATCATTCCCCATAGTCCCGTGATTAAGATCTCTTATAGCACTCCACAAGGTAAAGGCGAAGTGATGAAGATCCCCTCGAGGGTTCACGGTTCTGTCAAACCCTTCTGTCCGAAGCAGCTGTTACAGAACGGCCACGGAGAACGAGACGCTTCCAAGGAATCCCAGAAAGTCGTGCAACCTCCGGTAGACGCCATCCGAACGGATCTTACCATTTCCATTCCCAAACTCAAGCTCCCAAAGTTGAGTAATCCGGATGCCCCTTCGCCCAAGATACGATTGAGATCCCGGGCCGACGGAGCGGAGCAGGTGTCCGCTTACGAGGCAGAACTAGTGGATGGCGTTCGGAGGAAAAGTCCTAGAGTTCCCAGCTCTCAGTCTGAAGATGGTGCGGAGAAGAATTCGCTAGAGCTTTGGTCAGGCGAGGAAGTGGAACGGCACGGAGACTTGACTTTACTCATCAACTTCCGGAAGAGGAAAGCGGACTCGTCGAGCCTCTCCGTGTGCAGCAGTGACAGTCTAGATGAGTCCAAGTCTTTCAGCTCCGACGGAACGTCGCCGGAAATCTGCGACCTCGCTCCAGGCGACGATATCGCAGTCTCGTCTTCCTCTCAAGGGGAAAGTAAGACTGTTCTGCCTCTCACCGTACGACTGCACACTCGCAGCATGACTAAATGCGTGACCGAGGAAGGTCACGCCGTAACAGTGGGTGATGTTGTTTGGGGGAAGATCCACGGATTTCCTTGGTGGCCGGCGCGGATACTCAGTATTAGCGGTACTCGTAGAGAAGAAGGTGAGGTCCATGCTCCCTGGCCCGAAGTTAAAGTCTCCTGGTTCGGTTCTCCCACCACCTCCCAACTCTCGGTTGCCAAACTCTCGCCGTTCCTCGAATTCTTCAGGTCACGCTTCAACCGCAAAAAGAAAGGGATGTACCGCCGTGCCATCATGGAGGCCGCCAAGGCGGTGGGACACATGAGTGCCGAAATCACATCTCTACTGGCTCACTGCGAAACTTAGGTGAGTCTCTTGTCTTTCCTTGCGTGTAATGACAAGCAAAGCATGTTTCAGTTTTGACGCAAGTGCTTAGCGTACAGCAGATCACACAGCCTTTCAAAGTGTTGAGTGCACTCGACTCATGCGCTCTAGAAAGTTTAATCTCTGCCCAGTGTTGGCGCTATTTCTCTCTAGAAGTGATGAGCGATAAAATTGTCTTTGCACTGTTTAAAACTAGAGTTGCATGAATCTCTGAGCCCCTTCACGCAAGCGCTTGCCTACTCGAGGAACTTTCCGGTAGTTTGTTGTTATTCCATTTATTCTGTTTCTTTTTCGGCTGTAAAACAATGGTGCGGGCCAGTGTTGCCACCTTGTGGACCGAAATTTGCATCAGGTGCACCTTACACAGACCCTTGAGTATGTGTAAAAAACAAAGTGCACTTTAAGCTTTACTGTTTTTTGCATTCTTTTAAAGGAATTAATTAAATTTTCATTTATTCACCCACATGTCTTACCAAATCCGAACGACTTTTTTTTCTTCTGTGGAACGCAAAAGTAAATATTTTAAAGTGTTAATGCTGCTCATTTCGCTGTCTTTAGTACTTTTAGGATATTTCAATAGTGCTTTGATCAGGGCTTTTCCAATCTTCTATAGATATATGATAAAGAGCAGCGTGAACATCCTTCTAAACATCTCCTTTTGTGTTCCACAGACGAATGTCATTCAGGTTTGGAACGCATGGGTACATCACTTGTGTTTTTAGGTGTGCATTTTCTTTACATTTCATGAGCTCCAAACGTTATTGAAAACAGTAGGCTTGATTTGTTTCGTTGAGCATAGAAACGTCTTTAACTTCCCGGTTGGTTCCCATGGCATCAGTTTCTTTGTAGATTGCTAGGTCACCTCATGTTTATCGAGGATCAGATGCTGTCTTGGTTCAATATTGGCTCAAGTTCACAAGCCGGGGCTCCCACTGCCAGTGTTTGCACTCCTGAATTTCCATTCCATCCAGCCATATTTAGTCACATCTAGACTGTGCTTTGCAGGACTACATATCTGCAGATCCAAACTTCAGTACATAGTTATGCATCATTTGTGCATTTTTAAATGCATGCACTATTATGAATAATTTATGCTTGTTTATGCATGCATTTTGATGCATAATTTGTGCATTTTTATTAGGGCTGCACGATTAATCGCATGCGATATTTAACGCGCATCTTGTCAGAAAGCCGGTTCTGTAATCAGCGGTAAATCTCCATCACCTGCGTGCTTTCACATTGAGCAGCATTAACTACACAGAGCTGTTGTTCACTAACGAGCTGCTCTAGACCACGTTCATATTCGCGCGATTTTTTGCACAGCTTGTCAGTGAACAACGGCTCTGTGTAGTTAATGCTGCTCAATGTGAAAGCACGCAGGTGATGGAGATTTACCGCTGATTACAGAACCGGCTTTCTGACAAGATGCGCGTTAAATATCGCATGCGATTAATCGTGCAGCCCTAATTTTTATGCATGCATTTTTATATGCGTCATTAGTGCATTTTTATGCATGCATTATTGTGTCATTTGTGCATTTTTAAATGCATGCACTATTATGAATCCTTGTGCTTATGTAAGCATTTTTATGCATAATTTGTGCTTGTTTATGCATGCATTTTTTTTTGCATCACCATTCACAAAAAATACATTGCAAGCTCTTTACTTCAAATCCTTGACCACAAACTCCCAATGGTTTGATTTTAGCATGTTGACGTCATACTCAAATAAGCATATCAATGCGCAGTGCATGCAATTACTGGGTTTAAATAATGCAATTAATTGCATTATTCTTATCGATACTGAATACTGTTCTGTCTATTCATGTATTTGTTTGTTTTCTCTCCGCAGAGGACGAGGACGGTAGTGGACTGGCTGTTATTCAGGGTTTTGCAGGCGCCCCCAGATGATGGTGATGTCCCCAGAGCGTCTTCATTTGCCACGGATATCACGAGGGAAGGTGCTTTATTTCCCTCCACATGTGGCTGTTGGAAGAAAATGCAATGAGCGGACTGTGTTTGAGGGGCCACGAGGAGAATGTGGGAACAATTCCCCCGTTTGTCTCTCCATCTTTTGTTTGTTTGTTTTTTAGGACGTACATGATATTAGAACAAGTAGCTTGACACTAAATCCGAATGTATTTATTCACGAAAAAAACACTCGACTGGTGACTGGCCTCCTGTAAGATCACACTGCTGCTGTTTCTTATGACTCTTACGTCTGTTTTGGATCTGATCCGAACGGACTGACAAATATCCGTATTATAATACAAAACGACAAGTCTTACTGTGTCTGTTTCTTCAGATTATGAAAATGTGAAATTCCTTTTTGCATCATGTAGGTCTTACACCATGCAGTATGTCAGTTTGTCCGTCGCTTCACTTTCTCTGTCCTCTCCCAGAAATATATCTCTCGTATGTCTCTCCATCCTCGTTTTCACTCTTGATTATGTGATGTTTTGCTTTAATTATTTAATGTGTCACGTTAAGAGAAGCACTTTATCCGTACCTTGGTGGCCTGCTGTGAACTCTAACTCGAGTTTGCAGACTCTCGGAGGAGCCAACCCATCACTTTTGAAGTGATTTTTAATTTTTGTGATGGAGATTTCGATTAAAGGATGCGTTCAGGAAGTTGTGTACACTGTATTCTCGCGTTTAGCCCGGTTTACGTTGCTTTCCTCCTTATGAAATGTTCCACTGGAGATCTGGAGAGAACTGTACGCTCCTATGCACCGTCTCTTTTATTAAAGCATAAAAAGCAGCGTGTTGGTGATCATGTGTTTGCTGAGTGAGTGCAGGCGTACATGGGCTTGATTATCTGTGTGTCTGCTGGGACGTGGGACGTCCAGACGGCTGGCTGACCTGCGGGACTCGAGCGTTTCAAGAGCTGCACAGGTTTGGGTGCGTTTTTCCAGCTGGACTTTCTGCGGGCGTCGAGCACTTTATATCTGCCGCTGCTCGACACGGTGGAGTTTTTTAAATGTGCTGTAAATAGAATAAAATATAAAAGCAATGTCCTTTCTTGCAATGTTCTTTTGCACGTGTGGTTTAGTTTCCAGACACCGTGAGGTAATGAGGCGCTCGCTGACCTCTCGTCTGCCATTTGCTATCAAACCCGATGCCAAAGTTTGTGCCTTTGTGTTAAATGTGAAAGCGTGTTGACCGCCGCAGCAGCTCATTGGGTGCATTTGTTGAGGCTCAAATAAGTCGCTTACGTTCACAAACATCATGTACTTTACTGTTTGACTTGAATGAGAAGGAAACCTCAAATAGACAGTGTCCTACTCCACTTTAGAGTTTCATACGGCCCGTTAAACATTCGATTGGCTGCATTTAACCTTTCATTTCACTGGTAGATTGACCATTTAAAAAGCTGAAGGAAGATGAGTTTTTCCGTTTATAAAAACGTTGCAGTGATTGTGTTGCGAAAGACTGATCTGCTTTGTGCTGTTATCAAACCTACTTAACATTAACACCTCCTGCAATAGTCTAGACCTGTGTTTACACTTCTGCTCTGTAAGTTCACTGGACTTCACCCACACACAGACACACACAGACACGCGCACACGCACACAGACACACGCGCACACACACAGACACGCGCACACAGACACACACACACACTCATTCACACACACACTCACACACTCTCACTCACACACACACTCACACACTCTCACTCACACACACACACACACACACACACAATCACACTCACACTCACAAACACACACACACACACACACACACTCACTCACTCACTCACTCACTCACTCCTCTCACACTCACTCACTCACTCACACACACTCACTCACTCACTCACTCACTCACACACACACACTCTCACTCACACACACTCACTCACACACACACACACACTCACACACTCTCACTCACACACACACACACACACGTACGCGACAACTAAACCGAAGGAATGCATCTAGAGATTTAGAACTCAAATTAAATGTCAAATATTGTTATACATTATCATTCCAAGGTTTGTGGTCAGTAAGATATTTTTTATGTTTTTGAAAGAAGTCTGTTCTGCTCACCAGGGCTGCATTCATTTGATCACACATATAATACAAATTAACTTGATGAATAAAAGTATTTATTTCTTTTATACAAATATCTTACTGACCTCAAACATGTTTTTAATTTTTTTAAATGTATTTATTTTTTATTTGAGTGTTGTTAGTCGTGAGGTACATTGGAGCACTTTCAGGTGTTTTTAGATGGTTTGTATTTCCAGGTGCTTTTCTAATGTCAATATGAAACTATTCACAACCACTTTCACTTTCACACTGTGCCTTAAATCTGAGTGAAACTGGCTCTCCAACAAGAATAGCTATGGACAGGAGTTGATTTTATCATGATGAACTGAATAGTTAAATGTGGTTGATAAATAAGAGAGATGCTGCAGCTGAAAGGAAAATCATTTAAGAGCAAGTTATTACAGATGGAAGGCAATAACATGAGAAATGGTTCTTTTTTTAACATTTAAGAGCTGAATTCTGCACAGTTTGACATTCTTAATGAGGTATTATTACACGCAAAACTCTTCATGTTGTTCCAAACCTTTGACATTCTTTGAGGAGTTTTTTTTTTCTTTCATTTTTTTATTTTAATGTAACTTCACTGCTATGTCGGAAGACTTTTATTTTGACATCACTGAGAACTCTAGTGCTCATAGTTACTGTTAGTGATTAAGCAGCTGAGAAAGAGCTAAAGCTCTGTGAAGTCCTTCAGACCACACAAACTCATTCTGACTCATCATCATCATTCATTCATTCATTCACTCTCTGTCACGAAGCTGCTGAGTTTATGGTTTAATTTCCAGCTCTCATGACTTGAACAGATACATGTCAGGAAACTGCAGAAGTGTCCATATCTTAGCAAAAGATTAAAGAAATTATCTAAGAAATTGCAGCATGCATTGTAGGACCTATGTAGACATTTTAATGACAATTAAATGTTAACACTCAAATTTTCATTGACACAATGACACAAATATTTTCATTACAGTGATGCAGAGAAAAATTCATATTTAAATTGCACAATGTGTTATTTTCGATGTGTAGTTGTATTTTTACATCATGGTGGTGTTTGTTGTACTGAACTGAACTGATGTTGATTTTATGGAGAGATATTTGGACAGAATGGAAAGCTTTTGGACAAGAATTATTTTTGCCTTACAGTAATGGAAATAGTTGTATGTGCTTAATTGTCAAAACAATGTCAATGAAAAGCATCTTTATTTTTAGACTTTTTATTCTGATTTTATTTTTATTTTTGTTCATTTTTATTGTGTGCTTGTCATTTATATTAGTTTTTGTTTTTAATATGTTTGTCCGGTTTTTATTCATTTTTATTTCAGTTTTAGTTTGTTATTTTAATATATAGGTTTTAGTACATCAAGTTAGATTTTCTTATTTAAAAAAAAATAGCTGAAATAAAAAAATATATATATTTCTTATGATTCTAAGCTGAAAGTGTGTGTGTGTGTGTGTGTGTGTGTGTGTGTGTGTTCAGTAACGCAGGGTGCGGCGCTAGTAAAGCAAACCCAGCTCTCTGGACGCTCTCCAGCACCCCATATGGTCCTTTCTCCTTCAGGACGTCTTGAAGACCTGCTCTGCTGCACTGATCTGAGCATCGCTCCAGTCTTGTTGACGTCTTCTGCTTGTTTTCAGTGCTGTGTGACTCCTGACTGTGATTCAGTATTGATCGCTCACACACAGCAGGTGTCACACATTTCATTTGCTTCAATAACCTGCTTTAAAACAACCACCCGACTGTAGTAACGGTGCTGAAGCGCTGCTAGAATGCTATGAGCAGTGTAAGTACACTAAACAACACGCTGTGATTTGAAGAGTTTCATGACCGGGGCTGTCAAGCTTCAAAAAGCACCATAAATATATAGTTCAAGCATGTTGCGCTCCTATGCACCGTCTCTATTATTAAAGCATAAAAAGCAGCGTGTTGGTGATCATGTGTTTGCTGAGTGAGTGCAGGCGTACATGGGCTTGATTATCTGTGTGTCTGCTGGGACGTGGGACATCCAGACGGCTGGCTGACCTGCGGGACTCGAGCGTTTCAAGAGCTGCGCAGGTTTGGGTGCGTTTTTCCAGCTGGACTTTCTGCGGGCGTCGAGCACTTTATATCTGCCGCTGCTCGACACGGTGGAGTTTTTTAAATGTGCTGTAAATAGAATAAAATATAAAAGCAATGTCCTTTCTTGCAATGTTCTTTTGCACGTGTGGTTTAGTTTCCAGACACCGTGAGGTAATGAGGCGCTCGCTGACCTCTCGTCTGCCATTTGCTATCAAACCCGATGCCAAAGTTTGTGCCTTTGTGTTAAATGTGAAAGCGTGTTGACCGCCGCAGCAGCTCATTGGGTGCATTTGTTGAGGCTCAAATAAGTCGCTTACGTTCACAAACATCATGTACTTTACTGTTTGACTTGAATGAGAAGGAAACCTCAAATAGACAGTGTCCTACTCCACTTTAGAGTTTCATACGGCCCGTTAAACATTCGATTGGCTGCATTTAACCTTTCATTTCACTGGTAGATTGACCATTTAAAAAGCTGAAGGAAGATGAGTTTTTCCGTTTATAAAAACGTTGCAGTGATTGTGTTGCGAAAGACTGATCTGCTTTGTGCTGTTATCAAACCTACTTAACATTAACACCTCCTGCAATAGTCTAGACCTGTGTTTACACTTCTGCTCTGTAAGTTCACTGGACTTCACCCACACACAGACACACACACACACACAGACACACATGCACACTCACACACACACACACACACACACTAGGGGTTGAACGACTTCTGATTTTTTAAAGTCAACTTTTATGTCATGAAAGTCGAGTCGAAGTCGACTAGTCGCTGATGACGTCATTAATGAACAAATAAGTCTGGAGCTGTGACAAACAC